TTGTATTTGCTTTGTATCACATAAATATGCCATAGAGATCAGGAATTAGAATGGTAGCCTCAAAAATTTTTCATTAAGAGCTATGCAGATAAAACTGACATTCTATGTAGAAGTATAATATACATATTCTAAGCTCCCAAATCATGATCATTAATTAAATGCTTAGAAATTATTTGTTAGTGTTCCCCCTGCAAAGTTATTAATATTGTGGACTGACTAGGGTATAACATACATACATACATACACATATATATATATGTATGTATATATATATGTGTGTGTATGTATGTATGTGTATGTGTGTGGGTCTGTGTGTGTGTGTGTATGTGTGTGTGTGTGTGTGTACATATATATATATATATAATGTCCTGGTGGAAATTCTGGCATAGGTTACAATTAATGGGAAAAATGGAAGTGACTTTTAAAAGGAAATTCAGAAAAAGAGCAGTTACAGTCCAAAGGGAGTCAGAGTGAGTACACTGGCTTCCTACATCCTAAAGGAAGAAAAAAGTTCAAGTAGTAGAATAATTAGGGACAATAAAACAGATTTCACAAAACATGACAGGAAGCAGAAAGGTAGATGGAGAAAAGATAGTATTAAATAATTACTGGTGAATATAAGTGGAGGTTCCCAAACTGGAAAAGCTCAGTTCATTCATCTGACCAGTTTTGTGGTGTATATATACCAGATAGTAGGTATACAAACGGCTTCTAGTATCATAAAGATTATATGAGACAAGAGATAATAAGACAACAGATTAACATAGGTATACTATAAAGGAATGAAGAACAATGTCAGAGAACAGTGGTACGTGGGGCGACCCAGAGACTAGACCTGGTTTAACACATCTGAACAAGGCCAGAGAGGCAAGAAGACAGCCAGGCACATCACAGTCAAGAGCTTATTTTATTATTAGTGAGGTGGTAAACCACTAAATAATTATAAGCTAAGGCAGAAAGTGAAAAGATTTTCTTTCTTGGAAAAATGACTCCAGCTAATTAGGTTAGGGCGGTAATTTAAAGTACCCCAAACAACTTTCTATACTAGTTTGGGCGGCTATCTGAATAGCTTCGGCAGAATAAATTTATCGTTTACTTAAATCTAAACCTACATCTATATGGAGAAAAAAACACTAATAGAACAGCATCATTTTATTCTATCAACTTTAGTGAATTATTTTAATTATTACTAATTTCTTTATCAATAAAGTCAAGGCACGACCTTTTAGTTCTAAAACCATGACAGGACTATGTAGTAGAAAGTAAGGAAAAAAACTGAGACAAAAACAAACTTCTAGGAAGCAAAAATTTAATTGTCAGGATTCTAAATACCTGTACATAAAAACTGAAAGAAGGCTCTTAAATAGATCTTATATAAAAAGGCAAAGATATATTACATAATAATAAACTGAAAATACAGTAAGTATAAAGGTGAGTACTGTGGCATATAAATTCAGGCTAAAAATTTTGGTAACCTAACAAGGTGGTGGCCAAGCCCTCTTGAGCAACCTGTCTGTCAAGTTTTACATTTACAGGCCATTTTGCACTTAAGGACTAAGGTCACTGTGAAAAAGGAAAGCTTTGCAAGAGTGGACAACCAAGAATATAGACAGAATCCCCAGAGACAAAGACAAGATATCTACAACTGACTGATTCAAGATGTCAACCAAGACCCTTGTGCTGTTTAGCATTTTGACAAATCCTCTTCCTTTAAAAATCAACTGATGGATCACTACAACTTTTATCCCATATCTTACAAGCACATATAAAGCAAACCATCTTGCTGCCCTGAGAAAAAACTCTGATTTTCAGTAATTGCGGAGTCCATTCTGTTCTAATAAATTTCTCCTGGTGATCTTACACACCCCTTAGCGTGTCTGCCTTTGGATTTTTTTCCTTGGAAGAACAGGCCCTTTCCTGAACAAGATGGGTCTCTGGTCTCTTCTGTTAACCCTTCTGCTAACAGTAACGTACAACAAATGCTATTCCCAAAAGAGATTGAATAGACAACAATGTTCTTTCATCATAAACAATATTCCATAAACTCACAAAAACACAGTCAAAATATTTCCTTATAACTTGATATTGTTATTTTCAGTTAAAAGTAAAATTACTTTTTCATTTAATTGATCATTAAATGTTACATGCTAATAACAAAAATAACATGAAGTCTAAAAAATATATTCTGGTTTTGTTTTGGTTTTCAGCTGAATTACAGGTATCTGCCAATTATTATTCTTTGGTGAAAGAATTTGTAATTTCAGGTGGTGATTTATATCTATATGACCAAACTTAGTAGTGCACAGAGAAAATGTCAGATTGTCTATGCTGTTCTCATATTTGAAAATGAATTTCAAGATATTAAAAATTTTAATTTATAAGAAAGATTTTGCACATATCTCAATAGTTTTTTCTACCCTTACTTTTCTTCAAGTATGAAAATAGTAAATGATATACTTTCTCTCCCACGCTTATTGTTTTTTACTAATCCTTTCAGATAATCTCAGAATCATTTAACAGTACTGATTTTTAATGAACATTAAAAGAGATTTGAGAAATTAAAATTACCTTAAGTAATGGAATACACAGCAAAATTTTTTAAATTGCACATGATTTCTACACAGTCCAAGTACTGATCTAAGTCTCATATTTAATTTAGAAAATGAGTCATCTGTAGTCATAAATTCTCGAAAGATGCAGCAGAAATGTGTAAGTCTTCAAAATACTTGAAGAAACCCGATGAAGAAATAAATTAAACAAACATACTAGAAAGACGATGATTCTTCAGGTGAATATGACAACCCCATTAAAATGCAATACAGGGTTTTGTGGGGAAAAAAGGAAATCTAAGATAAAATAGACATTTGATATAAAATATTTACATATACAATGCACAAAACCTACTTTCATTAGCAACCTTTATAGCTTTGAAGAGCAAGATATTTACATATCTTTCTTTCTGCATGTGTGTGTGTGCGCGCGCGCGCGCATGTGCGTGAGTATGTGTGTTTTGTATATATTTTTAACAGTTGACAGCTGTTTTAGAGCATACAGAGATGCCAAGCTGAATGAGGGTCTTGATTACTTCAAGATTAGCTATCTAAAGTTTCTATTCATTTTAAGTGTTGTTAGTTGGAAGAGTCATTAGTCACTTCCTTGTCTCATAGAGCATCAGCATACATTTACATTGTTAATGAACATTTGGGGTAAATGAATTAATGGCACTTTTAAACATCAATTCAATCCTAATAACTTAGTATTTCATAGAAATGTTAGGCTAAGATATAAACGAAAGTCTTTTTCAGTAAAGGTAACTACTTATTCCTGCAAATAATAAAGGCTAAAATTAATTTAAAATGTTTTTTAACCAGGTTTAAAAAAAAACCTAATATTTAATGATATAGACCAAAGAGAAATACTCCCTTAGCAAACAACAAAAAATGTGTCCTCCAATGAGCATATAAATCAGAAATAGTATGAAAATGTTGAAATTATATACTTTTATCACAAATACACATTCACTCTTAAAACTCACAATAATTTATCAGATTTAATTTTGAGTGTTTTCTATAAGTATTGCATTTAAGAGAAAACATCACTTGGAAAGGTTTCATGCTTACCACTGAGACAATACTGAAAATGAAATGGTCAATTAATTTTTATATCATGAAAGTCTTTAAAAGCAGTCTTGAGTCTTACATATAAAAACATTTTTAAAAAATCACAAAATAAATATAGGAAAAATTTTATTTCATTAAAAACATCAATATTGGGCCAGAGACTGAGCTCAGTAGCACACCTGCCTTGCAGGTAACAAGGTTCTGAGTTTGATCCTGGTACCAAAAAAACACACACAAAAAATCAAAAACATCAATGTCATTTTCATGATGTAGAAGGTACTAAAAATGCAGAAGAAGCAAACATTCCACAATAACCTTATGTTCTAAAGAAATAGCCACTCAAAGACTCAATTATTATTGTTGTTATACGTGCCCCCCCCACACCTGAGACTGAACTTAAGACCTTGTGCTTGGGAGGCAAACAGCAGCACCAATGAGCTAAATTCCCCACCCAGCCTGTTCAATTTTTTTTTTAATTCTTGAAATACTTAATGGCATCAGTATAGATATAACAGTGATTTTATTTGAGGCATAAAACACATGAATTATGTGGACTAAATTATAAAGTTTTAAAATAGTATCACAATCCTATTTTAGTATTTCATGAGTAAAATATTAAAATCACTTAAGAAATGCACATTATCAAATATTTAATAAACCACAACAATAAAGCTAAAGTTTCAAAAATGCTCACAAACACATTCCAATTAAGTATGTTATTACTATCATTGAGTACTGAGAAAATAATAATGATTCTGATATATACACATCAGATATCTGTCAACATAATGTAAATATCAATTATTTACATCAAAAAAGAAAAGAAATAAAGATTTAGGTAAGTCATTAAACATGGAATAACCTCAATTTGTTAGGACACAAATTTCAGTTATTTACAAAATTAAACAAAAAAAGAAATAGGAGCTTCAGGTAAGTCTTTTATCCTGGAATAATCTCAATTTGTTTCTGGGAAGAAAATCCCTACAAAAATCAAAGGAAAAGTTTAGGAGTCTTTTTTTTTTTTTTTTTTTAAACCAGGGATCAAACTCAGGACTTGGTGCCACCACTGAGCTAAATCTGTGGCCCAAGTTTAGTATTTTTTAAAAAGATATTTGACAAAGGTCACTTTGCATTTCAACATTCCAAAGCTATTGTTTAGTTTATGACTTTTTAATGAATAATAGTATATTAAACAGTTGGTCAGTTGCTAGTTGACTTTTTCTGGTATTCGGTAGGGTCAAGAGTGCTCTACATATATTCGGGAAGTGTTCTTAAAATTGCCCTGTTCATTTTCACAGAACATAAAGTGGACAGAGCTAATTCAAGTTACCCTGCTGGACTGCCTAGCACTGGCAGACAGCACTTACACACAAAACTTACCTCCAGACTTATGTGAGTAAGTGGACAAGGGATCAATGCCTACTTCTTGTTCCTCAGGCTGCAGAGGATGTCTAGTTTCAGATAAGGAATGATACATTGTGGGAACTGGACAGTGTCGCCAAAAGTAACTACCTAGAAGACAAAAAAAAAAAAAAAATAGAGAAAAATATTAACTACATTATCGTTTTCTTCTTGCAATGACTAGGAATACAAGATTGAAATGAATAAATGAGCATAACAGACATTAACAAGGTTTTTCCCCCGGCTCCAGGGAATGTTACTAAACCTTAGCAGGATTATGCGAAACAGCAAAAGAGGTGGCAAAAATTTCCTTATCAACAATTTCTCTCAAAATCTGAACAGAATTTATAGCCTTAACTTAAATGATGAATCATATTCAGTTTCAATGAAATTTTGTATAAAAAGCAGAACTAGGAGCTGGGGATTTAGCTCAGTGGCACTGCACCTGCCTAAAAAATGCAAGATCCTAAGTTTGATCCCCTGTACCAAAGAGGGGGAAGAAAAAAGAAAAAGCAGGACTATAAGTTAGAAATTTATCTCATTTATAGCACCTTTCACTTTAATATCTAATACATTTATAATTATAAACTTCCAAAAATACAGAAATCTTTAATAATCTACTTTAAATTTTCATGAATATTTTCTTACCCAGCACAAGAAAAATGTGTCCATATTATCATTTGTAATGGATCCCTGGCATTCCATTATATATCACAATGTATGTACCCAATTTTTAATTGGTAAACAATTAGAATTAGAAACAATTAGAATCACAATGTATGTACCCAATTTTTAATTGGTAAATACCAAAAACAGTCTCAGAGTAAGTATCTCTGTGTCATATCTATGATATTTCCCTAAGACAAATTCCCACAAGTGTGGTTTGCAGTTGCTAGACTAAAACACCTACAGAAAAAATAAGATTTTGTAATGTTTCATCAAATTGTGCTCCAGAAAAATTTGTATATAATAAAACAATTCATTTTCAGAGTTTGTGTTAACAATGGATATTTTCTCTTTATAAACCTATGTGATAGTCAAATTTTATATTGTTTGCTTGATACTTGCTCAGATTACTAAACACTTATGTTTCTCTGGTATTTATTTGTCTTTTGTGAATGAAGTTATTATTCATTTGCCTTTGTCATATGATATGTATATTCTTCCCAAGTGTGTCTGTCTTTAAGTCATATGACATTTTTGTGACGTAAGTAACTTTTCATTTTTGTGCACAAAAATATACCTACATCTCCATTATGGTTTTGCCCTCTGGTGTTATGCTTGCAAAGACAAAATTATATAAATTACAGCCTATATTTTATTATTTGAAGGTTTTCCCCCTCAATTTTTATTCCAACTATTCTTATTCTAAACAGTTTAAAAAATAAATTATTTTGAATTTCCAAGGTATCCTAACTGCTATAAAATTTTATGGTAAATGCCTCCCAAAAGATGTGTGCTGATGGCACTTTTGAGGAAGTGGGAAACTTCAGAATATTGAGCAAAATTGGAATGAATTTGTATCACCAGGGGTGGGACCTTGAAGAGTACAGGAACCTCATCCCTTTGTCTTTTTCTGCTTCCTGGCTAACAAAGAGTAAGCAACTATTTTCCAACATACACTCCCTGCCATGATTTTCTGGTTTATCAGAGCCTCAGATACAATAGAGGCAACTGACCACGAAACAAACCAACCATGGACCAAAGCCTCTGAAAGCACAAGCCAAAATAAATCCTTTGTCCTCTAAGATGATTGTTGTAGGTATTTTTTTCACAGTAATGGAAAGTGAATACACATATTGAGCCAGGTTTATCTTTTAACATTCAAAATAATATAATACAAACTGTTAAATTTCAAAGTCTGAGAAGCCATATGAGGGATAAGAACTTCAGAAAAATAAATGGAAAAACCAAGCTCAAAGAAAATTAGCACCTAATTTTATAGGATATGATCTTCTTTTATGGAAAAAAGTTTCAGAGATGCCCATTAAACACATATCCTTGGTAATGTTTACCTATTCAAAATGTTCCTCTAAGGGCCGGGGATTTAGCTCAGAGGTTCTGGTGCATGCCTCGCAAGCTCAAGGACCCGAGTTTGATCCCTAGTACAAAATGCTCCTCTATCCCATTCACTTTCCTCTAAAATGCTCACCTTATAAAATGCTAATAAATATTTTCTGATTTTCTTCATAACCTGCCAACCCTCTCACCTACCCACAATCACATGCAGATATCATATCAACAAGTTCTATCCCCTTGGGACTTGGCTAAAGGAACAGAAGCAGAGAACAAGGAAAAAGAGAAAAGTTACTGTGTACATTAAACAAGAATTTCTAAATCCAGAAAATCCTGAATCCATAAATCTAAAATAATTGCCATCATTTGTTTATGTGAACAAATCAATAAGCATATATAAAGTAACTCTACAGAATATAATCTAGAAAAGGATAGAAAAATATAGATCATCAGTTGTAGCCTAATAGAGAATCTGCTAAATTCTGTTGTATAAATTAATGAAGAGAAACTCTTCTTCAAATAAATCAAATTCACATACTTAATGAGGTCAAACAAGAAGCATTAATAAAGTTAACACTTACAAAAATGAATATATACCCCAAAACACTCTGAATGCTTCGTGACCCTCATTTCATCCTTCCTACAAGCTAATGATGTATCTTCATTATCTTTATTTTCATTTATGAAAATACATGAAAGTCATCTATTTTAAACAGTTTAGAGTCACACAATTGTAAGCATTAAAGCCAAACTTTAAGTATACTGAGTCTTTAAGAGCTCACGTTCTTTCTCCTACAGTGCACAGGACTCAAAAAGTCAATGACACAAACAAATAAAGTATAAAACACAGAGTATAAGATGATGAGGTCTGTGAAAAATCAAAGTACCATTTTTTCTGCTTTTAATAAAGACAATAATCTAGCCCCTCTTTTGTTTTTATCAGCTTTCACTGCTTGCCTGAAAGTTAAGTCTATCCAGCCGCCTCACCTTGAAGCTCCCCAAATGGATAATGCTTCCACTTCTTAGCCACAATGTTCTCTGCCCATCTGTAGATAAACAAAACCCTCTAACTTTAGAAGAGGAAGGTAAAACTTGAATTTAAATATTAAACACTAAAGATCATAACAATGCTGTCACTTTCCCTTCAATCTTTTCCCTCCCTGGGACAGCTGGGATTTTGGGATTTGTTTCCTGAAAACTGTTCCCAATGACAATGGTTTTGCTATATCCTGTTTCTAAGAAAACCTGTTTCTCCTCACTGGACCAAAGACACTCAGCTGTGTTAAGTTACAACATGTCACTACTTGAGTAACTGCTTTTGTGGTGCTTCTATAGTTTCTGTGTAAAAGGAACAGCATAATTTTAGCTTGGCACTCAGATTCTGGAGAGTTTATCTCATCAGGGCCTACCAGTATAATAAAATCTTTTGATCTCTCCATCTCTGAGTGCCCGGTCATTTCCTGAAAACCTAAATTGTTGGAACATTTTAATTTTTTCAAGATAAATTAGTAGTCCACAATTTTGGTTGAAATATTCTGAACTTGTGTTGGCAAATAATACAAATTAGTAAATACGGCCTGGAATAGATTTAATCATATTTCAAAATTGTAACTGGTCCAAAAGCAACTATTTAAATTAACACTACTATTTAACATACATTGCTATATGCTTAAAATACTTTAAAAAATTTTAAAAATACCTATTTCAAATTAACTGCTGGATAGTTGTAATCTCATAACCTTAATTACTTATTTTTATATCCTACTTCCATTAAGGGGATTTAGTTCAGTGGTGCCGCCGCCTGCCAAGGTCCCAACTTCTATCCTTAGTACCAAAAAAAAAAAAAAAAAAAAAAATGCACATGTATTCTACTTCCACTGTTACAGCCTTCATATACTTAAAATAAGGAAATAAAAGGTTTTAGAATGCTGAACTTCCTGAAAAATAGACAACTGATAAAGCTATTATCAAATTCTTTATTAAAAAGGAGTATTACTCCAAGTGTGGTGGTATGTGCCTACAGTCCCAGCTATTTGGGAGGCTGAAAAGCAAGAGAATGTATCACTTGAGCCCAGGAGTTCAAGATCAGCCTAGGTAATATACTGAGAACCTATCTCAACAACAACAACAAAAATGAAAAGGAAAAATTAAAACGAGTTTATATAACTAAAATAAGATATTCTACATGATGTTCCTATATTCATTTAAAAAATACTTGAGATCTTTTTGGCTACTTAGAAAAACATGCTCAAGAAGTGACTCATTCAGTGAAAGCAGCTTTAATTCTTCAGAATTTGGCAAGATTATGGTAATAGCCAATAACCAGAATACAAAATAAACATCACTAAAGGGTGAAGGGGGTGAAGGGTGGGTAGGGGCATGGGGAGAAAAACAAGAACCAAGATATATCATGTAAAGTTACAAGATCCCAATGATAAATGTAACTGTATTGTGCGCTTTAAACACACCAATAAAATTAATGGAAAAAATAAAATAAAACAAAACATCCCCAATCATACCATACAATCAGACAGCTACTATCTCTTATTTGATTATATATAGAAACTAAGTCAATGAAATGCTCCTATAATTAAGCAAAGAGAAAATGCTGACCAGTAATGAGTTATTTTCAACCAATCTGTTGAAGAAAACATGTAGATGATATCATTAGTCTAATAGTAATTATGATTTAAAGAATAACAACTCAAAAGTAACTTATTAAAAAGTTGGTACTTTGGGGGGGTTGCTTTGTTTTAAATATTATTTGAGCTTTTGTTTTTGATATGGAGATTGAACTTGGGACCTTGCGCATGCAAGGCAGGCAGCAGTATTTTACCTTTTTAAACTATAAAAAATACTAGTGTGTCAGGTATTATCATTGTGAATACTTTATAAAAATCACAATGAAATGTTGCTTTTAAATGTAATACCATTTCTTAATAATCAAGTCTTTACATAAATTTGTCTATATTTTAGTCATTAAGAATAATTTCCTTAGCTATAGACTAAAATATTAAATGAAAATTCAAAATGAAAAATTTATAGTAGTTTTTGCAGTTTCAGATTCTTAACCACTGTAGAAGTCAATGCTACAT